TAAACCCTAAACCCTAAACCCACAGAAGGTTCTGTGAGCATTGGTAAGCATTGCATGGTGTTCCCTGGAGGAGCTGCTCGTCATCGTGGAGCCCTTGCGCCAGCTCATCTGGAAAACAGTTGCGGCCATGGCCACTGTCCCAAAAAGAATAAGGCTAGCACCAGAATAATGGCGAACTGAATCTCCAAGATAGCGGAATAGCCTCAGTCCGAGCAGTGGCAATGTCACAGAAAGTACAAGTCGAATTCGGGCGATCTGTTGCAAGAGCGTGGCGCAGTGCTGCGAGTAGAGATGTCTTGTTACTGAAAGCTGGCGGGACAAGGAATGCAGCGGGATTTGGGAACGAAGTGGTCATTACCAGCAAAGCGACTACAAATAGCGTGGTTGTGGCTCTCCACCTGCGCTGTCTTTCAACACATGGCTTTCTGTGAGCCCTCCCTCAAGCTTACACACTGATGCAGTGGCGGGTGGCGCCCTTCACTGCTTTGGGAGGGATCTTCAGTTGAGTTGCCCACAGTTTCCTAAGACTCCACGGTCGAATGAGACCCAGGCGAAGCTTGTGAATTGGATGCTTAACACCTTCACGAGCTACTTCGGAGGCGAGACGAAGCAAGTGGCTGAACCAGTGCCATGGCAGCCTGGTAGTGTAGGGTTTTGGCTTTGAAACTAGACCCAATTCTGAAAGGGCTGTATCCGGGGTCAGTGAGCGAAAAGGTTTTTTTTTTTGTTTGGGGGGGGGGGGCCGGGAGCGGGGGTGTTCACCCTGGTCGACGTCAGCTGCAGAGTCTCTGAACTGATCAGAATGCCGACCTGGAGCCCAACCTGCACCATCTCTTCAGTGATGCAGAGATTCTGGGGCTGGACTGCATTAAGCCACTGGGCAGCTTCTCTGGGTGGTCCAACGTCCAACATCTGTGGGGTTGAGTAGCAAAGCGCTTTCCATCAAGCCCAAACGTGAATGTATTCAGGTGTTCCGCGAGACTTGCTGCCGGTATCACCGTCGATGCGATTCCTCCCTTAGCCGTCTCAGTTCTGACGCCTAGCTGATGGGCTTTGTCTTGCGTGCTTCTGGCGCGACTGAGCGCAGGGTGGTGTTGCCTGCTCGTTTCGCCCCCCTCAAACCGTTCTCGCCCAGGACCAACTCTGCGACGATCACGGAGATTGTTGGATCAGAGAACAACGTGGTGAAGCAGTGCTATGGCACATGCCTGAAAAAACAAATGCAGGTCCTGAATCGCATTATCACTGGAGGAGGTGGGGTTCAGACGGCTTGGATAAGCAAGTTTGCATCGTCAGCATGGGTTCGGTTTTCATTTGATCTCCTTCTTGTTTCATGGCCTTGGCAGGCAATGCGGACACGGACCAGTACTTCAAGCGCGGCAACTGCAACCAGCACGCAGTCGGCATGTGCCTCGTACTAGAGAAGACACGGGAGTGCAAGATGGAGGTCCTGGCAGACGGCACGCTCAGAACGGAGGCAACCTTCAAGGAGGGTGCGGACGCACAGCGCAACGTCTGCAACGCTCTGAAGGGCGTTCACCTTCACCTCATCCGAGACGAAGAGAGGGGCATCATCTGTCCTGAAAACAAGCACAAAGGGAGCAAGATGGACTTGGGCCATGCCTGCCACAAAGTGATGGACGAGCTCATGCTCTACAACCAGATGTGCGAATCCCACGAAGAGGAGCAGGGCTGGACCTCTTGGGCCATGTCCGTAGGCCGGAGGGGGGAGCGGTGCAGGGATTCCAACTCAGAAGCTGCGCTTCGTCACCAGACGGGACTGGCATAGCGTGACAAGAAAACTAGCTAACAGCTAGCTGGAGTCAGGGTCGGCGAGAGAGTCGGTGTGTCGGGCCTCCAGCTTGTTTCACGCTGCAAGAGGCACGGTTCCTCAGTACAAGGACGAGAAGCCGATCAACTCCTGGGATGACGCGAAGTGCTTGGGCAGCCATGTTTTTGAACACGAGGGACGGATGCTGTGCGACGAGACATATCAGACTGCATTCAACTGAGTTTCCGTCTTCAGCACCTTCTTGTCCCAGATGTCAGCAACCTGTCGCCTCAGGCACAAGTGCCTCGAGCTTTTCGGCTGCACATCCCTGTTGACCAAGCCTGACAAGCCAGATGTGCAGAGAGGCCCGGGCAAAGCCTTGTAGTTGTGCATGCAAATATTCAGTGACGTGCAACCTTGCAGGTCTGGAAGCTTTCAAAAACGTTCTCAGAGAGATCTTAGACAGTGCTCCGCAGCTTGGCAAGGTTGACTGTAACAGGTTTCATGCTAGCTGTGCAGCGCGGAGCCAATCAGAAGTCGTTGAAGTGCAGGCACAGACTCAGTCTTGGCATGTGGAACTTTAGGGTTTAGGGTTTATGGCCAATCTTGCCCCTCCCCTCTTGCAGCCAATTAGTCATGGCAACGCCTCTTATGCAAATCTGAGTCTTCAAGCTGGTACCATGTAAATTGAGCAGCCAAGCAAGTCCCAACAAATTCATCAGGCCGTCAAGACTCAATTACTACAGAAAAGTAATGTGCGACAGTGCGATGGTATCTTAGAGTCCCGGATACGATGATAGGAACTCACAGGTCCCATTCAATCTTTACAGTACCGTGGGAAGCTAAGAACACAATACTATATCCGCCTTCAATTATCGTAGCCATGTAGCTCTGCATACGGTAGTGTCATGTTCGCACAACAATGACCAACAGACACTATAATTGCATGCTCGAGGTCCAGTGGTGAAGGAAAGCAGCCGCAGTCACAAGCCTTGCTCGAACGAAGCGTGCCGCAGCAAGACAACATGGAATTGCAGTGCTGCAGTACCAGAAGAACATCACCGCAACATCGTATGATCAGTCTGAGCACCCAGTCATGCCTCCTACCCAGATGGCACAGCACGCCCCCCTCATTCCACCCATCCTCTCTTAGAGCCCCCAAGAGGCGAGACTTCGAGAGGGATCAGATCATGAAAACCGTGGACGAGTGGAGGTCCAAGTCTATGGCCGGAGCGTCCCTTGGTAGCTCTTTTTTGGGGATCACATCCCGATTATATGATAATAGATTCCATTGTATTACATATGATAATATACATTATCTTATAGTAGAGTAATGTATATCATCGATGTGGATTCGGGAAGCTGATAGTCGGAGAGAGGCTGCTGCAGTGACTAAGTCTAGGCAGGTCTCGATGCTGTGAAGGTGAGCATTTTCTGTTGCAGAGTTCTGCGCTTCACTGGGCACTGAGGGATGCCTTCGAGATCGTAGCACAGGAGTGGGTGGCGCACGAGAGCGAGGAAGAGCGCATGGCCTGGGTGCGAGACGACGAGAACCTCAAAAAGATCTTCGAGTAACTTTCGCCTGCAGCTGTGGGGGCTTCGAGCCTGAGGTACAGGTTGATAAGGTTGCCCATGCAACAGTCGTAAGCTAAAGCCAAGCATGCTTGACATGAAGCTCGAGATCTCTCTGGAAGGCAAGACATTTGGAGGGACCACTGCTTCGCGTTTGGCAAGCCCATGACCACCGAGTTCGATAGCTGCGTGGCCTGATTTTAGGCCTTGGCATGGGGCATCTCCTCGGGTGATCAACTCCACAGCTTCATCATGTCAGGAATGGTAGTCAGTGGCTTGAATACAGAGTGCTGCAAAGGAGCGACGCCAATAGCAGCAGCAGCAGCAGCAGCTCTTGTTTCCCAGTCTCTTCCAGAATAACCTTAGACAAAGCCAGGCTTGTACAAGAACTACGCAAAGCCGGACATGGCCTTTTTCGACGCCCTCACGCGGGAGATGGGCCTCACGGAGCCTGGCCAGAAAGCAGGAGTCCCACCACGACAGTTTCAATGACTGGACGACTGCTACCGCTACCATCCGCTACATTCAACTACCAGCGTCACGATGAGCATCCCAAAGATAAATAGCGTTTATACTTATTCTTGTTGGTGTTGTGGCACGGGTCTGCAAAGTCGGACTAGCAACAGGCTTCAAGGAATCCGAGGCCAGCATGAACCACAAAGTCTAAATGCTAAGTCACGGCACTTAGTACCGCTTTTGGCGTGTTGACGTGTCTATTTCCTCCAGCTGCGCCCAGGAGTGGGGGTCATCAAAATGCGCGATTCCCACATCGGGCACCTCGCGTGGCTCGTAATGACAGTTAGAGTTGGACTTCTTGCACTTGTCGTTGCTACTAGTAGTAGTAGCAGTAGTAGCAGTAGTAGTAGTAGTAGTAGTAGTTTTTTGCAGCGGTAGTGGTAGTGATAGCGTAGCGGTAAGGGTAGAGGTAGTGGTAACGGTAGACGACGAGGACTACGACGACGACGACTACTACTACTACTACTACTACTCCTACTGCTACTGCTACTGCGGCTGTTACTGCTACTGCTACTGCTACTTCTACTACTTCTACTCCTACCACTGCTCCTACTGTTTTATTATTATTCCGATTATTAAGATCGTCTTCTTCGATTCATCTACCACCATTCCTGCTGCTGCTGCTGCCGCTACTACTACTACTACTACTACGACGACGACGACGACGATTACTACGACTACTACCACTACTATTGCTACTGCTAGTGCTACTGCTAGTGCTACTGCTGCTAGTACTGCTACTACTGCTACTACTGCTACCACTGCTACTACTGCTACTACTGCTACTACTGCTACTACTGCTACTACTGCTACTGCTGCTACTACTGCTACTACACTTCTACTTCTACTTCTACTACTTCTTCTGCTACTACGGCTGTTGTTGCCGCCGCGACGAACCACGACGAGCACTGGTACTACATGCTTACCGTTCTCGGCTCCGTTTTCGGCGAATCTGTCTGGCAACCTGTTCCCAACTGAGGCTAGCGGACCCAGGCAGTATCGCGGATTGTGGGCTGCGGGCAAAAGAAGCGTGGCTGTTGCGATGCCGCACCATCACCTTTTACTGAACTCCACCCGCAAAAGTTTACCAATTGACCGGCAGCCCCACATGGATGCGCGAGTCCCAGTAGCACTTGCACCAATGTTCAGAGCTCTGACGGAGGATGCCGTTCTGCAGCTGCTGTGGCCTGTCCATGTACCACTGCTGGATGAGGAGGCCAGGACGATGAGGGCACAGCTGGCTCATGACGCTAGAGCTTCCTGCCCCTCGTTTGAAACGCAGGTGCGGGATGCCTTAGACTCGGCGACCCAGACGCCTTTCCGCGACTTGCGCCACTTGTCGTGAGGCCAAGGGCAGCACTGTGTGGGATGACAATGGGCACAATAACGACAACAGTCATGATCGCACAGAGATGAAGATGAATCTGAATAAGCAGAAGAAGATGACGGTTAATCTTGCCATCATCGCTGTAAGCCCGTCAAACCGGAGTGCGCCTGGCTCCGCTCGCCAAGGTGGCTTGCCCAAGCCGATAGTCCGGGCCCCGGCAGTCTAGGTTCCCGTATCGCACTGTGAGGCAGCAGCTTGCGGTCTATTGAGAAATGCAGCAGTTCTGTCGTTATCGTGGTATATGCTGGGTTCATGATGATGGTGATGATGATGATGATGGTGATGACGACGAGGATGAAGATGCTAGGGATCATGACGATGGTTTACTGGGTGCCAGTGGCATTTTGGCATGTTCCGGGCTGTCGTTGTCATCGCCTCAGGTGGTCACGAAGCCCGTGGTTCTGCACTTCGAGCTCTACCCGTTGAACCCTGCGGCAGAGTTCGGCGGGTGAGCTTGGGACCTCCATTTTCTGGCTGCATCCCTGTTTCAGCTTGTTGGGTTGCTACTTAGCGATCCACATCTGCTTTTCGTGATCCCACCCATGTTCCTTTGTCCTGTACCCTGGCAGGCGGCTTCCCTTGCCAACCAGCGGGATTCTTCGAGAGGCTTTGGAAGAGGCAGGATTGGAGATTTCCGGGCCACACTGCGCATTGCCGTGGCTCTTGACCGCGCGCTCTAATTCATCATCATCTAATCTGCAAGCAGGGGTATTTCTGTAGCCATGACTATGATCTTTACAAACACTGTGGCTGCGTGCCATTACTATTCTACTACCGCTGTGGTAATGCTGTTGTCCTTGGATTGTTTTTGCCCTTAATACTATTTTTACTGTCATTCTCATACTATTACTATTGATACTATTGTTACTGTCATTCTCATACTGTTGCTTTGTGAGAACTTTTCATGCTCAGCTCTCGAAGGCTCTGATGGGAGGAGGTGAGTCCCGCCGGCATGTTTCGTTGCCCCTCCTGCCCGAGCTGTGACAAATAATTGTCGCAGTGCTCCTGCAAAGATGTATCGAAGAGAATAAAGTTTTACCCATGTATTGTTGCCTTTAAATGACTATGTTTGCAAGTACACCTACATGTAGTCAGATCGAGGCGCATGGCTGGATCAAAGTTCGACGGTGAGAAGCCGGACAGCATCTTGGTGCACTACCATGGTTTCGATTTCTGTGTTTTCTGCAAGGGAGCGGCTCAGTTTGCCCAGGATTTTAGGTTTCTTTATGATGTGTGTGTGGACAAATATGGCTTGCCACTTCAGTAAATGCCGAGAGGCGTCTGTACGCGTGTATACTATCGACTTGCAGATTTCTTTAACATTCCGATCTCTGAGTGCGTGATCAGACAGGTTTCTACAAGCCCCATGCGACTGGAGACACCTATACCTTTCTGCCACTGTTGTTTTTCTTGGCAGCTACGTCGTTACGTCGACTGGTAGCAACAGGATGCATAGAAACTCTTCAGGAACCATCTTGGGAAGCGTCGCGAGGGTCAGAATGTTTTGTTGACGGAACAGGTTGAGAGCTAGGCTGCCCTTCTCTCGCCTCAGCTTCAGGCGAGTTCGAGCTCCCGGAGAACGTGAAGCTCGGAGCCGGGATCTTGGTTTCTTGTTGGGAGTGCTGAATGTCCGTGGGGGCCCATGCAACATGCAGGACCTTCACGGCTTCTTGTGCTCTTGATTGTGCTGACTGAGGCCGCAGGTGGTGGTAAACGATGCGGGACTTATCACGGGGTTCGAGCATAAGAGCCCTTGCAACTCTATTGTACCAGCAGAAACTTGAAACGGCCCTTGGAGCTGGGGTCTTGCGCTGCAACTAACGGCCACGTGCAGCAGCAATGGAAGCACCACCAGGTCGGCGACACATACTTCAGTGGCAAGCTCGCTGCACGCATGGCCCGGCTGCCCAGAGGTATAGTTGAAGTCTCAACGTGTTTACGCTGTGCTCGCACTCGTAGGTTCGACGGGTGCTGAGGGGTGCATCCTGCCCTGTCGGCTTGAACAAGCCACTAGCCGCCGGATCGAGTGAGTAGTTACGTTCGCGTGTCGCCTTCGAACTCACTACCTCAGCATTGAGAAATTGAGCACTGCGCCTTGCTGAAGTCCTCCCGGCTTTAGTTCAGGCGCGGCTTGTGACCATTGCCGCGGAGATGGGGAAGTCCGACGAGGCTGATGCGAGACTTGCTGGGCATCAAGCACATTCATCTTATGCCACCATGGCCCAAACTCGAGCTGGAATGTTCGGGTCAGCAGGATTTCGTGAAGAGGATGTTGGACGACCTGCAGACGACCTGCGAGGCGTGGCTGACAAAGAGCCGGTCTCTGAGCAAGGATGGGTGACAGGTTTAGAGTCTATAGTTTATCTTAGGGTTTCTCTAGGGTTTGCATATGGGAAAATTTCCGTGAGTCCGACTCTGCACAGTCTTGCGGCCGCAGCTGAGGCGGCAGCACGCCCTTCATTTACGATCGCTCCTGGGGAGGCTGAATCGGGGTGAAGTTCCCAAGGTTTTCGGAGCATGGCAGATTGGCATGAGATCTCTGGCGAGAGGCGGAAGTGCTTTTGCCCGAGCCAAGCTGAAGGCTTTTCAGTAGACTGGGATACTGTTGCACATTATGTGTATATGTACATATATATATGTGTGTGTATATATATATATGTTATATATGTACATACGTATATATATATATACACACATACATACACATATTTGTATATTTATTTATTAGCTATTTAGTTTATGGAGAAACACATGTCCCATGGAACGTAAGGACTGTGTTTATTTGCTTATCAGGTTGCAGCAGAGTGCGAAAGCTCAGTCCTCAAGCTCCAGTCAAGCCCGAAACTTCCGCGAAAGGCTTGGTCTCCTGTGGATGCACTTACGACGACTGTTGGAACAGCTGCGCTCCGCACTGTTCCTGGGATTTCATCAGGCAAGGAGCATTCCTGCTGGCATCGGGGAGGGATCAGGAGATACGAGTATCAGGACTCAAGATGTTCGAGCATGTGATACAGCGTCAGTAGGCCTGTCTATCTATATATATATATATATAAAATATACATGCATACATGTATGTGCGTGTATATATATATATATACGTATATATATATATATAGAGACACATATCTATCATGATTGTAAATATCTTACTACTGATTTTGAGTGAAATCGCCAGTGTTCACGACCTCCATGGGTGGTCGTCTCAGCTGAGGCTCCAACGACGCGTCGAAGCCTTCGACGTGCCCGGCGCTGCGGAACGTAGGCAGCATGAAGGGGAGTTTTTTTTTGTGAGTACGTTTCGGGTTTAAAAGTTTAGGGCTTTGGGAACAGGGGCTTGGTTTGTGCAAAGGGGTGGTTCCTCGACTCGAGCTGCGGTTGCGTTGATGAGCCGGATCAAAAGACTGCTTTATGCATACATGACAGGCTACAACTTTGGAAACGGCTACTACAACGACCACCACTTCCACTACGGCTATTGGATTTACACCACAGCGGCTTCTTGGCAAGCCTTGGAAGACTCAGAGAAACAAAAGCCGTTGGGCTTTCGCGATTTTAGCCGCACACGGGAAATTGCGACGGCAGCATGAACAAAAACTTGTGCAGCAGTTTTTTTGGGGAATGGTGCAGGTCCTGGCGAAGTTCCGGCCCGAGTGGGAGAAGAAGTGGAGGGAACCTGTGCTGGCCCTCATCAGGCGGTCTGATGCCCGTAGCAGCCGTAGTATCTTTCAAGCTCACCGCATCCGCAGGGACTACGCAAACCCATCCTCTGCAGACAAGAAGTTCCCTGTCGTGCGGCACAAGGACCGTGGCCGTTGTCCCCTGCACAGAGCGACCCGCGCCCTGAACCCAACACTTAAACCACCAAGAAGCTTGAAAACAAGACCTGAAACCCTTTGCCGTATGCCCAAGCCCCACAGTGGAGGACTGGTTCCTGTGCTTCTCCTGGGCCGGTGGAATCAAGTTCGAGCCTCTTGGCAGGCCGGCTTTGCAAACATGTACATCGCATGCATGCGCATGTGCATGCATGCGTGTATGTGTTCGACAGTGAGTGTATGAATGTACTGTTCTGTAATGTAACGTAATGTAGCGTGGTGTCATGTAATGTAGTGTAATATACACATACAGAGACATACTCGTACGCATAGTTATATTGGCAGGGGCGAGCGCAGGGAAAACTGAGTCCAGCAGCAACAACTAGACATGTTGTCTCCTTGATCTGCATGCCTTCCTATGCAGGATAGACTCATGCAGACTTGAGGTTGGCCTAGAATGACGAGCTAAGCATCTCTGAGACAGCGGGTTGTGCACAGGAACCAGGAGAGTGTCAGCGAGGCGATCAACAGCCCGAGGCTTATCAAGACTTTCAGCCTTCATGTTTGAAGAGCAAATGCTGAACCTTTCAGCACATGCGGGTCGTGTCTGCTTGCTTTTTTGCAGAGAACGCAAAGACCACTCGATCCTTTCTGGCGCTTGACTTACAAGAGACGGCTCAACTTGAGCGGAGAGTGTGAGCTCTTTGTTGTTTTAATGAGTTCGAGTGGCTGCAGCACCTTAGTGCAAGCTACCCGAGGCTACTACGCCCTGGCAGTGTACGGCACTGTCTTGGCGAATCGTGGGGACGAGGCGCCAGCGCCATATAGAGAGGTGTGAGCTGTGAGAATTCTAAATGAGCAGCTTCCAAAGCTGCTAAACTAAACTACAAAGGTCAGACCCGTGATGCCCAACACACAGGCGTATACCCCCGTTTTAGGGGTTGCCTAGGCTTCCCAGTGTAGGCTTCGCAGATGGGCATCCAGCTTCGGCAGCTTGGTCGCCTCTTGATGGCCATGGAGGCAGGGCCTGCGAACGACAGAGGTTGTTGCATATCCAGTATGTGCATGGATACATATATCTGATGTGTATATATATATATATATATATGCATGTACATATATACATATATATGTTTATGTTTGTGTATTTGTGTGTGTACATATATATCTACACCACACATATACATGCAATTTTCAGCTGTTCTGAATACATCTGATTGAAGCACCAGTTCGCGCGCAAACGATCATGGATTGTCCATGCCTCAATACGTGCTTTGGCTGTTCTTTGGATCGGTTGTTGCTGGGAAAGGAACCAATCTCATGATCTGAATGGCACCTCCAATGCCTCCACTACACCTGTCGTTGGTTTGAAACTCGGCCTTGACTCCTTCGCAGGTCCACGGCGGGGATACGTACTGGCAGCTCGAGCTGCATTTCCAGAAGCACGAGATCTTCAGCATGTTCGGCTATGACCTCCTCACATGATCTGCTGAAGCATCGAAAGCGTAGCATCAAGTTGTACGGTTTTCTGTTATGTCCAGGCTTCGAGGTGTGGCCATCAAATCTGCCAATTTCCGCTGTTCAAGTCTCTATGTGGTTGCTCCGTTGAAGTCCGTCCTGACTTTTCCAGTGGAGCGGAAGACTCGGAGGCATGTACGTCCTGACAGCAAGTTCTACCCAAACTTCCAACACCCAACGGCGGGGGCCTCGCTTTATGCAAGCTGTTCAGGCTTTTGGATGCTGTGTGGGCTTCGGGCTCCATTGATAGGTCCCACAGGTCTGATGAAAAGGATCCCGAGAGTGGTCGGTGCTGGTCGAACTTGGCTTGGCTTCGCTCTTTTGGCTTGTCGGCTTGGATCCCGAAACCAATGCACTTCACATGGGCATTTCTCCAGTGTATCTTGGTCCCGGAAGAATTGTTCGTACTTACCCATCAAAGTCGCGTTGAAGAGCTGCAGTCCAAGAAGCACCCAGCATGCCAATGCTGACTTCAACAGGTTGGCATCATGTGGGAGCACGTCTGCCTCCACCAAACCTGGTTTGGAGGAAAAGGCAGCGTCGCCTAACAGGATGTCGGGATGCTTAGGGCTTCGGCCCACAATGTGAGCACGTTCAGGTTCGTGCGCGGTGCATAACCCGACATGGCCCATGGTGGGATCGACCTTTGAGCATTCAGATTCGCCACAGTTGCGAGCTGCATGTCTCGTACGATGTCCCGTATGAAAGTCTCGCTGGCCAGGCTGGGCCGTGGAAGGAATCCAGCAGCTTGGCTAGCAACTGTCCACAGCGTGTTGGCAAATACCATCTGATGTGATGCAACTGTTTGGCTAGGTATCTCAGGGTATTCATGTAAGCGCACAGCTCACACGATCCAGCAATTCATGCTGTCAAGGATGCTGCCTGTCGTCCCAGTGTGGCGCTCGGAGTACTGCGGGTAGGGAGCAAGACGCTTGCACAGTGATGGCCTGCCCAGACAAATGAAACGCCGCGCATGCATGTTGCATCAGGCGTTAGAAGATTTCTTGAACGAGGCCAACGAGGGATGCTGCCTTTACTGTGCTGGGATGAGCTAACGTCCTGCTGACGTTGTCTGTATGCGTGAGGGCATGCCGCCACATTCGATGCTTGTGTCGGGTGTTCAGGAGTGGGTCATGCAGCACTTCCTCTCCTACAAGGACCGGGGTCCAATCGGGAGTGTGAATGCGCCCGAGTCTGCACGGGCTGCTTACGTTTCAAGCTTTGAGACGAAAGAAAGTTCAATACTACACTACTGAAATTTCAGCAACGTGAAGTAGCGATCGTAACAGTGAAACACTTAAAGTTAATATCAGTGAGACGTCGAAGTGGACGTGCCTGGGCAGAAGACAGCGGCGCAGCTGAGTTAGAGTTCCAGTATGAATCAGTCTGTTAACTTCCGGCAGTCTCGAAGGAGTCCTGCGAGAGCGACCCCGGCTGCAAGAAACTGGGCTGGTCCTGGCTCGTTTGCATGCAGCAGGCACCTGGGGAAGGGAGATAGGCAGGCAAGTGCAGCTCTGCCGTTTTGCAAACGGTGACATGATGTACCATCCTTCGAAGGATGGTGAGCGAGTAACATCGAGTAACGTGGTTAGATACTGCCAGTGTGTCGCAGATGCCCAGTCCTTCCTCCCCTATGCATCGAAGAGGCAGTGGTCAACGTCAGCGATGCCTTCGAGTGCTTGCACAGGCCGGCATGGAGCAGCCTGGTAGCTCTCAGATGTGCCAGTTGCCATGGCTTGTTTTTCGCGTGCAAGCAAGGTTTCAATGCCACATGTAGCTGTCGGCATCAAGAGTGTGCACTTCAGCCAACCGCCTGTGATCAGGTTGGATGACGAGACTTTCAGCATGAGGCTTGGGACACGTCCATGCCCTTCCTCGTTCTAAGACTAAGAATCTTAAGAATATGTAAGTTATCTTTGTGACCTGCGAAAGAGATGTAAAGCTTGCGCATTTGTAGAATTGGCACCCCTCTTCACGTCATCTCGACATTTTTGTACATGTCGCAGGAATGCTGCTGCCGGCGGCAATTCCTTGACAAACTCGCTGCCCCTTAGCTGCCGAGAGTCCGAGCCCAGTGTTCGGTGTTGTTGTTGCATGCGCTGGCGGAAGATCGGCCTACTCACGGCAAGGCAACACTAAGTTTTGCAAGCAGGCTCAAGACACAAACTCCACATATAAATTGCGATGATCTTAGCAATGACAGTAACAAAAGAGTATTACTCGTGGCAGCCCCCTTTCTCCTACTGCTGCTGCTGCTGCTACTACTACTACCACCACTACCACTACCACTACTACTACTACTACTACTACTACTACGACTACTACTATTACTCTACGACTACTACTATTACTACTACTACTGCTACTGCTACTGCTACTGCTACTGCTACTACTACTACTACTACTACTACTACTACTACTACCACCGCCACCACCACTACCACCACTACCACCAACACCGCAGCTAGGCGCTACTGCTACTAACCATCATAATGACAAGACTAGTCTTATATCATGCGTAGCATTTTTCTTTTTTCACGAGAAGCTTCCGTGCTCTGAGTCCTGCTCGGTCTCACATTGACCCGCCCGCCCAGGGTCTGGCTGGCCACCCGCCCTGGCAAGAAAGCGTGGGGTCCCAGCCGTCATGAAGCCAACAAGAACAGCTTGTATACAAGCAAGTCACCGGCAGCCTTCATGGCAGCAGCCGAGAATCAGAGGGGGGTTTAGAGTCCTCGATTTGTATGACAAGTCTCAGTAGCTGCAGAGTTTCCCAAGTCCGGGTGTGGAGTGGATCAAACAGAAACGGGCAAGTGTTGGAGGTTTAGTCCTCGGGTTCTGACATCGTCGGAGGTGCCTGAAAGCTAGCCTTGGCACCTTCCGAGGACGTGATCCCCTGGCCGCGCATAGCGCAGCGGCAGGCTCGCTTTGTCTCACGAGGCTTCGGCTTTCGGCATTTCGGTACAGAGCCAAGGCCGTGGACAAAAGCGATGCCAAAGCAAGGGCTCCTTACAAAGCCGCTGATGTCAGGTGGCGACCACTACTCCCAAACCAGCAGCTTGGCAAAACCTGCTTGGCCCGAGAAGTGTGTGGTTTGCTTGTCCAAGCGAGAGTTTCCGCACAATGGTTTGGGCCTTGTCTTGCCATAAGTTGTTGCTTCGACTTGACATCATGCGAGGCATGTGTGATGATGAGTGCATGAATGAATCGATCCTTCAGTGGAAGCTGCGACAAGCCCTCTACGTCTTGGATCCAAGGGCCTAGACCTAGACCCAAACCATGGAGGATTGCGTATTTGAGTCCACTTCGCAGGTGCTGCCGCACCTTCTCCCAACTGTGGCGCCCGCAAGGGCCTCGGGTCAAGTAAAGGTGAAGTTCGCCACCAGCACGAAAAGCCGTTAAGCGCATTCTGCCCAACATGGAAAACGCAATAGCCGAGTTGAAGAAGTTCGGCCGGCATGGTGTCCCGAGCCTCAGTCAGATGCTTTTGCCGGAGTACCATGTGGGGATTCTCAGCCATGCAGGGCTGGCTGTGGACCCGGGGGTGGCGCTTGCTATTCGGCCCCCACCAAACTGCACATCCGAGGTGCGCATGAACAACGGGTGCTTCGCAGGCGAGAGTGTCGTATGTCCGAACATTCCGCCGGGAGCCTGGCTTTGGGAGTTTGGAGCTCTGTGTTGGAGCTTGTTGGGACGTGGAACTGCGGAATTGCGGAAGCCTTGAAGCCCGAGTGACCTTCAAGTTCAGCTGTGGGACTCACCTTACGCAGCTCTTCGGCTCAGCAGGGCTTAGGGCTAAGTCCAACAATGCACTCCAGGACAGGCCGTGGATTAGGGTTTATACGGTTTAGGGTTTAGGGAACACCTTACCGTTGCCCCAAACCTCACCCCACGCCGGATCGGATTGTTTGACCGTGGCTGAACCCTTACATGGAGCTTTTCATCCTTGCCCCTAAAAGCACGAGGCTAGAGCCTGAGTGCCTGTACGCAGTCAGTCGCTGATCAGCTCTAACAAACATACTCCCATAACCCATCAATTCGGCCTCTTTGAGTCCAGCCTATGCTCAGATGAATGTCGGCAAAGACCATGCCGGCACCAGTTCGGACCGTTTATGGCTGCGAGGCTACCGGGGCATCTAGGTCCAAGCCGTCAAAACCCGAAGCCCCAGCAGGTGGATGAGGAAGATGGAAGCCTGGAGAATTTGGCGTCCCGCTGGCGTCTCGAGGAGACCGAACTTCGAGTTTTACCGGGGCCACGGGCCCCGGCACCCGGGGTTCGGAGTTGAAACGAGTCAAGGCCTCTTGCACCTTGAAGGACCTCCCCCCGCTGCCTCCACCAAAGAAGTGTGACATGCTGCTGCCCCCCGGTGTGAAAAGCTTCGGGCTACATCCCGGTTCGCTGGCCCTGAGGGGCAATTTCTCAAAAGAAGCATCGTGTAGCAGCCCGGAAACTACTCGTAGAAAGTACTCTAGTATACAGCTACGAAAAGTGAGAGTCAAAGTCCACCGTTGGCCCATGGTACTGCTTGGCTCATCTCCGAGGCGCCTCGCGCCAGACACCCTAAACCCTTAAGGCCCTTAACCCTAAACCGCCGGCTGTGTCTCCTGAGGCAGTCGACGGGTGGCACCTTCTACGTGAGCTTCCAGATTTTTTGCCTCGTAGGCGTGGTGCAAATGGGCTTCCTCAGGGTCCTCTTCCTTCCACGTGCGCATGTGTAGCAGAGTTTGACGGCTCGTGGCAGCGATGATGGTGGTGATATGTGGTGATGGTGACGATGACGAAAGAATGAGAAAGCAGATGGTGTTGGCATATCACAAGTGCGCACATTCGACACCCTGAAGGAGGGACGCACGGGTTGGCCCTGACGATTCTGCCGCGCTTTCTGGGCCAGATGCTCACAGCGGACCAGAGGCTACGCCTGCTTTCTGATTCGACTACACAATGCATTCTACAAGTGTAGGACACGAGTAACATCTTTTTGAGTCGTCAGTCGTACTTGGGTTCGACTTGACCGGCTACCACGTGTTGCTTCGATGCGCAACAGTACTAGCAACTATAGCGGCAATTCCGGCAATTTCGGCCGTTCTAGGGTGGGAATTCGAGGGACGAAATCCTGCGAGGAGCAGGAATAGCAATACCACCGCCTGCTAGCCAGGGACGACCGGACAGGCTCGAAGTTCTGTTAGAAGCACAGGGGCCCGACGCCCTCAAAGGCCTCCGCCGGCTCTCTTTGGTCGAACGAGGTCGAAGATCTGTTTGTGGATCCTTTCAGCTTCGGCCACTCGGTCAGTGCATCCCAAGTCGCGAACTGCAAACCTTACGGAGCTGAAGCCAAAAGAGGTTCAGGTGCGCATGATCGTGCTTGCAGGGCGGGCGTGTTGTTGCCGTGCCACAACGCTTGAAACTCGGGCGAGACTGGGAAGCTCTCAAGCTTAAGACACAGGACGATTTGAGAGCCAAGGAAACGTTGCAGCTGTACGGTGTTTGAAGATTCTCGACTGTCACGGCTCGTGTAAGCCGCAGCGTGTGGAGGTTCCTCTACCTGACAGCGATCTACACTGAGGCTGCTACTGTCCTTCCGAGTCGGGCGTTTCCATGTATGTGTAGTCGCAGTAGGAGCAGGAGCCGTTGTCGCAGTCGTCGTCGTAGTCGTCGTCGTCGTCCTCCTCCTCCTCGTTGCAGCAGCAGCAGCAGCAGCAGCAGCAGCAGCAGCAGCAGTGGATCAGACTGTCAGGACTTCACATCGCCTGCACCCTATAATTGTTGAATTGTACGGACAGTCGTTGTAGTAGTGGTGGCAGTAGCATCACATTGAAAATTAAATCCTCGACGAACTCCCCGGTGAGAAAGCGTCCGAGTTGGCCGCAGGCTGTGATCGCCGTGGTCTGCCTGCTGTTCATCCTCTGCGGAGATCCGGGGGCTTCCCAGCGAAAGGAGAGAGAGTCGTAAAGTTAGGCTGTTGAACGGGTGAGGCAGGTGCTGCGCACATAGAAAGCGTCGTGTCGTTGCTGGACACTTCAGGTGATTCCCAGAACAGAGGAGAACTGCTTTCCCTTGCCCGCGGAGGTGGTCCCGAGCAGAACATCTGATCTTGAGATTTGAGTCGTGATGTCAGGAAAGTCAATTGAAAATCTGTTATTTCAGGCGGGCTCAGAAGCATCCGTGCAGCATTAGGCAACTGATCTCCCGCTGCCCACCTCTCCGGCATCATGTTGATGGGCTTGGACTACATAGGCAAGACGAGCTTTTTCGAGGACAACCCGCCGCTGCCGAAGGAGTCCGGCTATGCAATCTTGCTTGGCTTTGGAGCATTCTTTTCGGTGGTAACCACAGTGTTGGTATATCTGGACAAGCATGCCAATGGAACCGTGCACACATCAGAATTCTTCAACACTGCCGGCCGCACTGTTAACACAGGCCTGACAGCTTCTGTCATCGTCTCGCAGTGGACCTGGCCGGCGACACTTCTGCAATCCTGCAATGTGGCATGGCGGTACGGAGTTTCCGGGCCGTTTTGGTACGCCAGTGGCGCAACGATCCAGGTAGTGCTCTTCGGCATTTTGGCGATCGCGGTCAAACGCCGTGCTCGGACGGCGCACACAGTGTGTGAGATGGTTTTGGCTAGGTAGCGACATTCCAAACTTCACCCTTCCCATCAGTCTCATCGCATAGCCCTTCCAATTAATAGCGTAATTCGAAGGTGGGGCAAGCGTGCGCACCTGACTTTCCTCTTCTTCGCGCTGTTGGCCAACGTACTCGTGACCTCCATTCTGTTGCTGGGCGGTGCTGCCACAGTAACTGCGCTGACGGGCGTGGATACGAACCTGGCAGCCTTCCTGATTCCCTGGGGTGTGATCCTTTACACAGCGGCAGGTGGCCTGAAGGCCACT